ATCCCTCGGATCGCGCTTCACTGCTGGAGGAGACTACAATGCTAAACACCAACGATGGGGTTGTCGAACATCCAATCCCCGCGGTAACATCCTATCACGAGTTTCAACTTCCAACAATTATTCAATCCTTTGGCCCATTAGTCCTACTTATTGGCCAACATCCCTCAAAAAAACGTCCCGATATCCTAGATATATTTATAATTTCCCAGATCTCCTCCTCACAAACCATAATCAAATCCCTTGATGACCTTTCTTCAGACCATAATCCAGTTCTGCTTTCACTAAATTCGAGCTATGCTCCTAAACCATCAACTCCTAAATTGATTGCAGGACGAGTAAACTGGGACAAATTTCGTGATGATTTGGAAAACAAACTAGACTTAAAAATTCCGCTAAAGACAAAAGACGACATTAATGGTGCCATTGAAAAACTGACAGCGTTAATAACAGACAGTATAAATAATAATATTTTTATCAATAAGTTTAACAATTCACAAAAGACTGACTTGCCACAGCATATTCGTATCTTATTGAAGGAAAAACGCAGAGCAAGATCGAAGTGGCATAGAACCAGATATCCAACAGATAAAACTCATTATACCCAACTGACTAACAAACTAAAATCTGAAATTAAAAAATACAAAATTCAAAATTTACTAAATTTTACTGAAAAACTTACACCTACCGACAAATCACCATGGAGAACCACTAAAAGGCTCCTGAAATTTAAAGACTGTAATCATCCACTTCTTACTGAAGCTCAAACCTGGTCCAAATCCGATGAAGAAAAATCACAAATCGTCACAAATCTTTGCTCGTCACCTCTTTAAAACCTTTAATCCACACCCCGATATTCTTTACCCAAATCACCTTGAATGTATAGAAGCAGAACTGGATATCCCTCTCCAAATGTCTCTTCCACCTAAAGCCTTTCATCCTTCAGAAATATCCGACGTCATTCAAAGGTTAACTTCCCGAAAAGCTCCTGGACACGACCTAATTACATCCCAGATCCTAAAACTGCTTCCTCGGAAAGCCATTCTATTCCTTACTTATATATATAATGCTGTACGGCGATCAACATACTTTCCTGACCCTTGGAAATTATCTATTATCAAAATGATACATAAACCCAAAAAGCCACCAGAAAACCCATCCTCCTATCGCCCTACCTCCCTTTTACCCATCCTAGGCAAAATCCTAGAAAAGCTCATCCTAAAACGCCTGTACTCCATACTAGATTCTAATCACATTATCCCAGATCATCAATTTGGATTCCCCAGATCCCATTCCACTATCCAGCAATGCCATCGTGTGATGGATGTTGTCTCCACTGCATTGTAGCGCGGAATGTACTGCACGGGAGTCTTTCTCGATGTAGAACAGGCTTTTGATCGAGTCTGGCACACAGGACTGCTTTACAAACTCCGTAAATTCCTACACCCTACATACTTCCTCATTATCCGTTCCTATCTTACTGATAGATCCTTCAAAGTAAATCATAATAATGCCTATTCATCCCTTTTTTCCCAGTCCGCTGCTCAAGGTAGTATCCTAGGTTCTATCCTTTACTTAGTTTATACAGCTGATATCCCAACCCATCCTAACACAGTCATTACCACGTATGCCGATGATACATGTGTCCTATCAGTTAATAACTACCCAACAATTGCATCCCAAACCTCTCAATCACACATCACAAACCATTGAAGAATGGTGTCAAACTGGAGGATAAAAATAAATTCTAATAAATCCCATCAAATGACCTTTACCCTTCGTTGTAAACCTATGTCCTCTTGTCCTACAGTATCCTTTAATAATACCCCGCTTATCCCTGTTGAACAAATTCGATACCTTGGACTCCACTTAGACAAACGTCTAACTTGGAATTCTCATACCAGACTGAAACGACAAGAAACAGATTGACGTTTCCGACTACTCCAGCACTTACTAGACAAACGCTCTAACCTCCCAGTCAATTACAAAAGACTCATATACATGACTACAATAAGACCTATTTGGACTTACGTAGTTGAGCTCTGGGGCTCCACTAAGCCATCGAATTCCTCTCGTATTCAATCCTTACAATCTAAAATCCTTCGTAAAATCCTCACTGCTCCTTACTTTGTCACAAACAAAATCATCCATAACGACCTTAATGTTCCTTATGTTTCTGACTTGGCCCAATCCAGATACCTATCCTTTCATAAAGAAGTAAATAAATAATACTGATGAAGAAGGTAAATAAATAAAAAAGAAAATAAAAAAAAAAATGAAATAAAATAAAATAAAATAAAAACTTCTAAACACAATCATAACTATATACAATATATACATTTGCCCAAGAATCTCCGAGCCAGGCTTTTACCTCCACACGCGGAAGGCAAAGCAAGACTCCGGAAGATCCCAGTGCCACTTTTCCAGTCGCATCACTAGTATTAGAAGCCAGTGGAGACTGAAAGAGGGCAATACAGCCACAGACGCTCTGGACATGAGTGGAGAAGCTGGCCATTGCCAGGACTCCAAAGGCATATTTACAAAAGATCTCGAGGCCACTGCCGTTTCAACCTTCGAGGGGGATGGTATGGATGCTCGGAGCTGGATAGGGATTGCGCTAGAGGATTGGGATGATGAATGAGGTTCTGGTGAAAGTTGGAGAATCTGGATGGGATGATGTCATGGACATATTGGATGTTAAGGTCATGGTGTAGGGTCTTGTTCGTGACATAATATGGAGCATTGACTATTGTTCGAAGGACTTTGGACTGGAAGGATTGGATGCGTTTGATATTCGATGATTTAGTTGTCCCCCACAGTTCAAGTCCGTAGGTCCAGATAGGTTTCAGTATGGTCTTGTAGATTAATAATTTGTTTTCTGTTGAGAGATGAGATCTTCTGTTTAGTAGTCCATATAGCTGACCAAAAAAGGATATAATATGAAATAATAGACATAAAGGAATATGGAGAAAGAATAGGAAAAAACAAAACCAAGAAGTAAATAAAATTGGAAGAATAAAAATAGAGACTTACAGATGTGTTCAGCTAGGAGTTTCACTTAGAACTGGACTATCAGGGTAAGGGCGGGTATTGGGGACTTTACTGACTTGTTTGGGTAATGGAGAAAAACCTAGAAAATTACAGTATCTAAAATTGAAGATATGGATGGATACAAGGGAAAAAATACTATATCTATGAAATACTAAATTATAAATATATACATATACATATAAAATAGAATTAAGATATTATAGACAAGAGTACAATATGAATAAAAACAAAAATGAAAGAAGTAAAACGTACATAGAAGTAAAATATTAATAAAGAAATAAGAGACCATACATTGGAAAACTAACTTAGAAGTATAAAGAGGGGAAAAATATGAATAATTATAATTATATTTGGTTGGACAACTGTAAGAAAATTACATTTAAATATTAGATAATATTGAGACATGGTTAAAAAGTTAATTGAATCAAAGTGAAAACGGACGATCATACATTGATGTAGAATGTAAATATAAAAATAAAATAAACTAAAAGAGAGATCAAACAAAGCGGAAATACTTATAATAAGCTCATAATATGTTAAAAAATGAGTTTCGAAAATCATTTTAAACCACACAGGCATTTCTTTGCGCAGTAACAGTCCATGCAAAGTTTCATTTAAAAATAAAATAGAATATTATTATTAATTAAAACTGACAATCGATCGGTCAAGTTTTTTTATAAAGGAACCAATAGTATCTTCTTTTATTAGAGACAAATTGTCTTTATGGCTTTTAAAACTTTAACCCAAATTGCTATATCCATAAACGCTAAATGGTAAAATAATAAAACTAAAATAATTTTTGTGTGATATTTACCTGATGTTGCTCAGAAAGTTCAGAGAGGTTTGTAACTAGAAAATGTCGACCTGGGGGTTTTATATCTGTTAGAGATCTCAAGTTCGAGAGGTTTTGGCAAAGGACATAAGGTCACCGTGATAAATATCAGAATATTTATAATTATTAAAATAAATTATTTAAAAAAATATATAATTTAATAAATGTAAAAATAATAGCTTTATGAATATTTATTCTTTGTTTTGGATTTCACACCGTTACTACAAATATTTTTTAGGTGGAATGTACATGTCTATATGTGTATGTGTGTGTACAAATATGTGTACGGAAATTTTGGGGCTATGCGCAGTTAAAGTAGACAAATATAATAAATCGTTTGATTGATTGGTAATGTTGCCTTCGATATGGAAACATACAACCAATGGTTGTATTGGTTACATCTTATTTATAATTGGTGTTTCGGAAGCTTTTTCCAATGACCAGAACTATTCTCATAATTCATTTACATCTATTTCTAAGATAAAAGCATTATTATAAAATGAATGTTATTACAAGCTTGTTTAAAAGTTTTTAATGATTTTTTAACTATTGTATTTAATTATGTCTGCTCCTTATTTTGATTAAATATATAAAATAAGTGGAGCATCATCAAGAAAGGCATTCAGGGCAGCATCCAATTATATATAGTTTTCGGTTTAGTGGTCCAACATGCTTTTCAGTAACCCGTTTTTTTTTTTTTTTTGTGTTTAATATATTTCTGCGTTGTCGAATATTAAATCCAAAATTCGCATTGATGGACAGAATTATTTGTTGGTCACTCAGTTTGTCCTCCAGTGTTTTCAGAACTGTATATTCACGTCTGTAGTGTTTTAATAAGTCTCTATTTCTTTTGTGTATCATGGTTGCCTGATATTGTTATTTTTCTGATAACATTCTCTTCTAATCCATAAAGTTCTAAGGACATTATGCTACACTTAATCTTAGAAATTAGTGAAATATCATAATAAAAATAAATAAATAAGTACCAACATAAATTTATTAAACAGATGTAAGATTCAGAAGAAGTTAGTTCATCATTGATAACACTTTTAAATTAATATGTTATAAATACATGTGGTGAAGATTTAGATTTGGTATAGTTGCAAAAATGAATTGGTTTTTATTGAAGAATTGGATAGCTGGCCATAGACGATATACCACAGACGTTCCTAACGGATCTTGTCAACCTAATGTATCCATCCTCTCCCCAAACTTGACCCCATGAGTTCTTTGCGATCCAATATTCTTCTCCATCTTCAGAACCGTATCCTACCAGAAGGATTCCATGGTCTAAACGAGACCGGCAGGTATCTCCATTGAAGACACCTACGAACATGGATTGAGTTATAGTAAATTTTTAACTCAATGAGAACCGAAATAGCATACTGTTTCTACTAATGGGAAATTAAAAAAATACTAACCTCCTCCGTAGTACATGAAGTGTTCGTTTCCAGCGCTGACAGCAATTGAGATTGGTCCAACAGTGGCAACGGCTGCCTTAAGCGCATCGTCATCGTTCGGCCTAATGTCAGTATAAGCTTTGACTTTGGTTCCTGGCACTACCTTATCCTTGTTGTACCTACATCTACGATCCTGCAAGAGAACGAATCTGTTTATTACACACGTCGATTGTTTGCCAGATTACAGCTAATTTTCAGGATTCATTGTGTGTTAAATATAGTTTGAGCTTTAAAGAAGTATACTAGTTGTAACTTACAATTTTTGCTGATTGTACCAACACCTCCCACCTTAATTGTTATGACTGTTTTAAGAGGATTCTTACATAGGCCACTGTTAGCCGCACTTCAATTGTAAATTGAATTTTGAATATTTTTAAAGATAACAAATTTTGATTTTATCTAACGAAAAATCTTACCAATGCTTCATACGGATATGCATCTTCTTTTTCCAACCCTTCCACGTCCTTTAAGTAGTTGAAGGAGTAATCCATTAATCCACCTCGACATCCTAGATTTTTGTAATTTCTTGAACAATCTACTAACTGCTGTTCGCTGAGGGAGACGAGTTCTCCAGACTTCCTAAAAAGCTGACCTTCCATCGCTCCCGTCTACAAATAGATAAACTATATATAAACTTAATGAACTCGGCAGTTATTATCATATACAATCACTACACTAACAGTGCTGAAAGCCCAACAAGATAGACATGATCCTTGGTTTTTTACAGGAGTGACTGCACCTAAATCCCTCCAGTCAATGGATTGAGGGATTTCGACATTCGCTGGAGGAAGGAATGTGAAGCTAGGTTCTTTCTTCATTTTTCCAGTTTCGTTGAATTCTAAATGACTTACTTCTTCTGGAAGCTAAAATTTAAGAAATTACATGTACTACAACTGGCCACAACTTATTTTGTACCACTTTAAACACTTTGCACATATATTACCATGTCTCCAAAGTGGTTCATCGCCAAATAATAAGTTACCAGCCCAGCTTCGTATTTTGCGTTATGTTCTTCGATCATCTTCTGATTATGATTAAAAATATTCATTCTAAGACGTTCCTCTTCAATACTGTTATATAATTTTCCATGTTGGCTCTGTAAGAATACAATATTTACCTTCATTATTTGCTTAAAACTTATTGGATTGGGTAATTAAGTTGGATTTTATACTTTAGTTAATACTAGCCTTGAATGACATCCATTGTTCCTTATTGACAGGCGTTGCTGCTGCAAACGCCACCACGGCGAGAAGTAATATAACTTTCATCCTGTAATCAGTTTAATTTTTTTAAATACTTATTGATATAGTAACATTACTATACATTTTCTTTAGGAACATATTCTTTTTTCCTACATCCAAGGAATAATAATAAATTATACATTATTTCTTTATTACTAAAAAATATAAACATTATTTAAATGAAAAGGAATAAAATCACACTCCTTGATATATACACCCTAATAAGTTACTCTATAGTTTCTCCCACTAACTAACTACATATCTGGAGTAAAGTAGAGTAAATCTCGTCTCTATTACACTGATATTCAAAGCCATTAGAAGCTGGGTGTCAATTAATTATAGCGCTTAAGCCTATAATTGTTGCTATTGTAAATTTTATAAGGTTCTTACCTGATGTTGCTCCCAGAAGTAAACAGGATTAATAACTCTGATTTTTCGAATGTAGCTTTTTATACTCTTTCGGTGCCACTTTACCTTGAGAGCTTTTGTCAATCAATGATTATTCGGAACTCGAAATGTACTTTCGTAATCGATATGAGATAATTTCTTAGAAGAGCATCTTAAGTTAGTAGATTGGCCATAAATGTAGTCAATAAAGTTGTCGGTAAATTTGACAATTACTTTAAAGTAGAAGTAATAGCTGAATTGTCAAGAAATCAATAGATTTTCTAAAAAAGCTCTAGCCTGTAATATTTTTTTCAATTTTTTACTTTCCTAACGCTACTGAGTAAAAGTACTTTAACTGAGTTATGTTTGTGATGAATAGATCTTCACGTTGCAGACAACCCTGCATTAAAAAATTGCATTTTGGCAATTATTCTTCAAGTGTGTCTGTGTCTCATTCACGTTTAGTGTTTAGGTCACTTATGCCTTTGTATTAAATAGGGCACGAAATACAGGCCACCCAATGGAGAAACTATTTTTAAATATACACTACCGCAAAGTCTACTGATTTAGATGAGATGTCAATATTCTTTGAGATCAATTTTAATTTTTGAATTTACATAAATGTAGTAAAGCCCCGAGAAAACTAAGAAACAAAATTTAACAATACTAATAATTCTTTGGCAACATTTTAAGGTTATTTAGCTAAATATAATAAATGACAAAAAAAGGTTGTAAATTGTCAGTCTTTATTTAAGTTATTTTTTCAAATGTTTCCATTAAATTTGAAGGCTATGCTCTACCTAAATAATTCGTACCTTTTCCACAGTGTTACGGTTTGAAGAATATAAAAATATTGTACATAGTGAAAGCTAAAAGAACAAAAAACTTTTTCCTCTATACATTGAAGCTTTAACGACTTTTTATGAAACTTTCTTACAGTGATTTACTTAAAGCCCTTTTAATTTGTAATATGACTATTACACTAGAAAAATTCCACAGAAGATAAAAATTATTTTGGGCGTACGAAAATAAAAATTATCCAAATTAAAGCAATATTAATCAGTATATTTTCGCTGCATTGAACTTTATAACGGGTGTTTGTGAGTTTCTGTTTCATTATGCGCAGATTTCCATGAAAACCTTTTCTCAAATAACTACATACCAATACAAGTACAAATACAAAGTACTAAGTACAAATACATTGCAAAGAAAATCACGAGAAAAATTCTACAGAAGATAAAAATTATTTTGGGCGTACGAAAATAAACATTATCCAAATTAAAGCAATAGTAATCAGTATATTTTCGCTGCATTGAACTTTATAACGGGTGTTTGAGAGTTTCTGTTTCATTATGCGCAGATTTCCTTTAAAACCTTTTCTCAAATAACTCCTATACTAAATGTCTTGAATAATCTAGTTCCTTCTTTTTTTAAATCGATTCATTGCCCTTATAACCAAATTTTCAAGTGATTTTTTTTTTTGAATAGAGAAATTATAATAAAATTATCTTTAAAGCCAAACTCATTGTCCTTATAGTTACATAATTAATAATAATACATTAATGATAGTAAATAGATTAATTTATTATTGTTTATCAGCCGATATTAATTAACAACATTATACAATACTATTTTATACAAAATAATATCAAATAATATTTTATTTAAAATTCAAACGTCTGGGGATTATCACTTTGCTATTTTCAAACACATTATTTATAATATTTGTCAGCTGCCTTTTCATTAAACCAAAATTTCTTATTAAAGTAATTTTTAGCGGTATTGTCTTTTAAACAATAAAATTTGGCATATTATACATCAAAAACAATTCAAGTATTTGGGGGAATAGATAATTAAAATGGAGGGGATAGACAATTAATGAGGATTATGAAGTGAAATTAAGATTCGCAACAATATACGTCTTAAAAAAAAAAAAAAAGTCGATGTTGGGTGGAGGAGGGGAGAAGACATAGGCACTGCAAAACTAGACTAGGGTATTATTGAAATAATTTAGTTCTAAAATAAATCATATGCTTATTTCTTGAATGAATTATTTCCGAAATAATGATTATTTATGAAACAACATTTCAAATTTCCAATGAAATAACTACTACATTTATTTCTGAAATAGTTATTTAAATATTCATTAATTAAAATAAGTTGTTTCGAAAAGATTTATTTAAAAAATATATATTTTTTTTCAATTCTTCATCCGCACCTTTTTTTTTTTTTTTGTTCTTCCCTACCTCGCGCCTTTTTAGGCTATACGGGATTTTCCCGGGCCGGGGAATTTAAAACCTCCTCCGGCACCGGGAGTATAAAAGTATGATATAAAAACTCGTACTTTTTATATCATCTCAAATCTCTGTTATCCGGTTGCCAGGCAACTAGCGGTGTTGTGCACACGCTTTAGCCTATTCGGCCACCCCGCCCCTTCTTCATCCGCACCTGTCATGGCAGTGATAATTAGGAGATTTGTGGTAGAAAATGGCATGATAGGCATGACGAAGAATGGAGCCCAGTAGCACCTCTTCCCTCGCCTGTTTACATCCTAAAATGAGGAAAGGAGATCTCTCATCTAGCCACTTTTCAGTCGCCTCCTGATGAGCATCCCAGCTGTGCCCATGTTGTTGATAAGACCATTGTGATTTCCGTGTAGTTTAAGATGAAATCGGGAGTAGAGGGCCAGAACCCTCTACCTTGTAACCCCTCCTCCCCTCACATCTCTGTAAATTGCATATCTTTGTGTTCCTTGTAGCTATTTATTTTTTTATAACTGTTCAAAAATGTCATTGATAAGTAGATTATATTTCTAATACGTTAGAATCTAAAAATTATCATCCTGGAGTTTTTCTTGACACCATACAAGCTTTCGATGAAGTTTGACATGAAGGATTGCTTTTGAAACTTAAAATTTTATTTCCTCCGACCTATTATTTAATATTATTCCCATATTTAACTGACAGTGTACTGAAAGGAGGGACAGAACGTATTAAGTATATTAAAGCAGGAGTACCACAGGGTAGTGTCTTTGGACCAATGTTGTATAATATACATATATTATATGAGTAATTTTGTGACAACATTTTTTTCATCCAAAACATTGTTCGTCAATAGAGTCATAAGTGACGAGTGTCATCATTATTTTACTTAACATAGTTCAATTAAAATTGTGAATGATAACTGCATGACAAGTAGCTTAAGACCATTTGTTTGGTGTTAACATATTATATCTGTCTAACAGTTGGTTAGATAAGGAATAGCGATTTTGTCTGAAAACATAACGAATGTTGTCACAATTCCTATCAATTTAATAACATTTAATAAAGTATCATGGGTTACAATGAGATGAAGCTATTTACGAAGTTTCAGGCAGATGTTAATGATTTGATAAAGAGTGTTCTGTAGTAGGATTATTATTTTGATGGACTAATCAAAACGAATTCAAATTTCATAAAATATTTTCATATTACTTTTCACCAAAAATGATATTGGTTATTGAAACATTCACAATGAATCACAAGAAGATTAAATATCTTAAAAATATATATATTTCAAGACATTTATTTAACATATTGAAATAGAGCTTTATATAAATATATTTAAACAAATTTAATTTATGTAATGAATATGCTCAATAAGATACAACGTGCAGTAACTTATTGCAAAATAGGATGGTTAGCTTTAGTTGAAATGACAGAGTCGTTTTTCTTGGCACTTGTCAACCTCATAAATCCCTCCTCTCCCCAACTTGGACTCCAAGAATTCTTGACAAGCCAGAAGTCTTTTCCGTTTACAGATCCGTATCCAACCAGGAGGATTCCGAGTTTATTATACGAGGGTTGCCCGTATTACCATTGAAAACACCTTTGAAACACAGATTCAACTATAATAATTGTAATGTAATGTAAGTATAGTATAATCGCAATTACAGTAGGTCAATACTCACCTCCTCCGTAGTGTAGGAAGTATAAGTTGGCAACACTGACTCCAATTGAGACGGATCCAACGGTGGCAACATCAGTATTTAGTGCTTCGTTGTCATAGCGCTTGATCTCAGTGTAAGCTCTGACTATGGTTCCGAAAACCATGCTTTGTTTTGTTTGTGGTACCTACAACTGTCACCCTAAAAGACGATTATAACTATCTGTAATTAAGTATTGGTAATTACAGTATTCGAATGAAATGAAATAAAAAAAGTACAATAACTTTAAGTTTGTATTTATCTTACTACACTTACTAAAACAAAAGAACATACTTTTCCTTCATATGGGTATGAATGTTCGCTTTCCAATTTCAAGGTACCTGAAGGAGTAATCCATTAATCCACCATTACAACTAGCACTACCGTAAGTTTCGGAACAATCTACAATCAGCTGTTCGCTGAGAGAGATGAGTTTTTCAGTCTTTCTAAAAAGTTGACCTTCTATGGATCCAGTTTAAAATAATTATATCTAAAAAAAATATAATAGATGCTTCTGTTAACTTAAAAATATTTATTCAAAGTATCTTTGCCGATAAGTTTTAGTGAACTCGCTGAAAATAACCGTTTAATTTGTAATTTGATGGTTGAATCAGTGGAAAAGGAGAAAATATTTCTTGAACTTCGCAATAGGGATATTTAAGAAAGATAATATAGCACAAAATTCATTATTTTATTTTTTTTTTACCTATTGTATTCACCATATGCGTCATTTCTCCTGTGTTGTAATAATCTGCCTTGTGTTGAGATATAGTATCAAATTCAGAGCTCATTCAAGGATAATATTCCGAAATCGACATTCTCTTCCGCCCTTATCTGTCTTATAACACGCAGGCACATGAATATGAAAAAAAAGCAATCCGAACTTCTAGAAATGAAGAACTTTACATTATTCCTCAAAGCTTGTTGTATGGTTCGTAGCAAGGTCAAGGACTTTTTAGCGTGTAATGCAACAGAAAAGGAAGTGCTTATAGTTGATGCCACGATCAGTTTTGAAACAACGATCAAGATCATGAAATTAAGGTCCTCAAGTCCAAAAAGAATGAAAACTTGTATCTATATGAAATTGCGAGTGTAATATCAAAAAGTTATTTAGAACAGTGATAACAATGAGGTATCTAATTGTGTATATTTAATGTAACGAAATAGAATAAAATTATAATGAGACGTTTATTATCTGTAACATACAATATTAAATTTTCCAAATAACCTGATTTTTTTTTTCATTGGATTTAAAGTGTGGCTACCCATGTTATAATACAAACAAACAAAAGTTGTGGGTCATGAATATGATTATAACGACCTTTTTTCTGAAAATGACAAAATTTTACGAAAAAGTTTGAAGTAGCTGTTTCTAAAACTTCTTTTGAAGGAATCGCTTTCCCTAATGAATAGGTTAGACGGTCTTAAGGAATGTTTGATGAAGGGATGGTTTTTCCGAAATGTTTACTTTTTCGAGTTGCTTGAAAACGTACGTGAAAACGTTTTTTTGATTTTTATTGAAAAAATATATGTTATTCTAACAAATGGTGGCTAAAAGTGTGCCAAATTTCAAAGTGAGAAAACAATAGCTTCACTAAATATCTATCTACTATACTTGTGCCAATTATAAAGGTCAAAATATTTTTAAATTTATTCCTATATATATTTTTTTTAAATGTCATTTACGTGTAAGTTTATTCAAACAAGTACAAAAGCTTGAATATGATATTCACAAGTAAATATGCCTAGGTTTATTATATCTTCTTAATATAGCCTTATGATGGATTAAATATTATTCATTATAATATTATAATTGTATACTTACTCTAATATTAGCAGACCCTGAAGGTGTTTATAATTTTTAAAGTTTATAATTTCATCTACTGTCTGCCGTATAATTAGTTACTGTATATTGTAATTAATATAAAACCATATTTATATTTTTTTTTTTATGTTTTTTTACTATTTTTTCTTAACGTAAAAAATAGAAACCAAAAAATGTGCAATAATGTAAGTAAAAAAATGAATCAAATAAAATAAAAGTTAGTTTTTGCATCTTTAATTACCTACGGTACCGTTCTGCTATCCGTAACCAAAACCTGACATTTTAGTTGTACAAACTGAGACTGACAAATGTTTACCAGAGGACTGCGTACACTTCCTATTAAAAGAGTAAATTAATAAGCTATTTTGAAAATGAAATACAATATATTTAAAACTAAGGGACATCTGAATAGTGATTGTATTCAAGTTTTTGTACTTTTTTGAATAAAATAACCCTTAAATGGCATTTAAATAATACTATATAGGCGTAAATTTATATTTAAAATATTTTAATATTGGCGAACCTTGACGGCGGCTTTGGCTGTGTCTATAGTAGATCAATATTTTTTATCTTGTGAACCCAGTGTTTCTCCACTTTAAAAACTTTGGCATTTACGAACGTCCGATACTTTTGGATAAATGTCGCGTGCATTTTTCAGTAATAACTGTTCCGTTAATACTCTTGCGAAGCTCTGAAAGCATGTAACGCCAAGTGTACCTCTTTTGGATATAGCTTCTTCTTTTCGCAGGAGTAATGACACCTCCCGATTAGTGTTGCCCAAAATTGGTCTTTCAAGACCAAAGTGCAAGACCAAGACCAACACAGCCTATCTATTGCAAGACCAACGGCCAAGACTGGTAAACAAATTCTTTAAAAAAAAAAAAATTAAGGCAAAATAGTTACTAATACTTGACAATTTTAATTACTATACGTAAATAATAGTGTTACCCAAATTCGGTCTTGGTCTTGCACTTTGCAAGACCAAGACCAAGACCGCCTAACTGTTGTGAGACCAAGACCAGGACTAGTAAAAAATATCGATGTTTTAAATAAAAATTAATACACAATAGTTACTAATACTTGACAATCTTAGTTACTATAATTGGTATTACCAATATACTTTTGCATTTAGCGCCTCTAATTTTTCATTCGGGCTTTGTTAGGTTTCTCCTATCTAACAAATTACAGTAATATCCCTATAGTAATAAGCTAATAAGTAGCTTCAAGACTCTTGCGCAAAACCAAGACCATGACCAAGACTGAGTTTGCAAGACCAAGACTCGTCTCTGTTTCGCATTTGGGCAACATTAGTAAAGAATTGTTATAAGCTATATACTTTTGCATTTAACTCCAATTTTTCATTCAGGTTTAGTTAGGTTTCCTCTGTCTGAAAAATTACAGTAATATCTGTATAATTATAGGCCAATAGGTAACTGCAAGACTGTTGCGAGACTCTAGCGCAAGACCAAGACTGAGTTTGCAAGACCAAGACTCGTCTCGGTCTCGCATTTGGGTAACAGTACTCTCGATATCGACACTACTCGTAAGTGCTCTGCTCTTGGTGACCTTGGTAAAGATAAACTCCCTGAATTATAATCGCTCTGTAAACATTCGTACCCATTTTACCTTTAATAAACTTTAGAGAAAGATGTATGGGCTCATCTAGGATAACATAGTGTATAAAGTAAGAATGTTCAGAAGAAACAGCTTGTATTTACAGCGTTAGATATGGTTTGTTGGTTATTAAAACTAAATTTAAAATAATATAGAATTACAGGCAAATAAATATCTTGAAAAATTATATATTGAGGGGTTTATTTAACTGATGAAAATAATTTTTTACAAAAAGCATATATAAATACATTTAAAAACCGTTTGGTTTGTCATGGATATATTCAATGAGATTCAGCATGCTGTAGCTCATTGCAAAATAGGATAGCTAGCTTGAGTTGAAATGCCACAGGCGTTTTTAACAGATCTTGTCAACCTCATAAATCCCTTCTCTCCCCAACTTGGACCCCAAGAGTTCTTGACAAGCCAGAAGTCTTTTCCGTTTTCAGATCCGTATCCAACCAGGAGGATTCCGTGGTCTAGTCTACCAGGGCTGCAAGTGTCACCGTTGAAAACACCTACGATCACAGATTCAGTTGTAATTAATACAATTCAATTTAAATATGATATATTGGCGATAACATTTGGTCAATGCTCACCTCCCCCGTAGTGCATGAAATGTAAGTTGCCAGCACTGACTGCAATTGAGATGGGTCCGACGGTGGCAACGGCGGATTTAAGTGCTTCATCATCATAACGCCTGATGTCAGTGTAAGCTCTGACTTTGGTTCCTGGAACTACTTTGCTCTGGCTATACCTACATCTGCGTTGCTAAAAGAGAAATCATCATTAATACTGTTAATTAAGTAGTCGTAATTACAGTTTTAGAATAAACTCAATTAGAAAAATACACTAATTTTAAAGTTTGTAATTATTATTTAAGCAAAAGAACATACTATTCCTTCATATGGGTATGAACTTTCTTTTTCCAATCCTGCTACGTGCTCGAGGTATTTAAAGGAGTAATCCATTAATCCACCATTACAACCAGCATTACCGTAAGATCCGGAACAATCCACAAGCTGCTGTTCGCTGAGAGAGACGAGTTTTCCAGTCTTTCTGAAAAGTTGGCCCTCTATGGCTCCAGTCTAAAAATACATATAAAAAAATATTTATATAATGGATGATTACAACTTACAACCATTATAAATAATACACATGACTGAACTTACACTGCTGAAAGCCCAACAAGATCCACAATGACCTTGGTTTTTCACAGGAGTGACTGCACCAGATTGTCTCCAATCAATAGATTTTGCGATTTCGACGTTTGCGGGAGGAAGGAATGTGAAGCTGGGTACTTCCCTCATCTCTCCTGTTCTGTTGAATCCCAACTGGGTTACTTCTTCTGGCAGCTGTAAATGAAAGAGTTAGATAAAACCTGATTTAGAATAGACCTGCGTTTGACTAAAACATTTTCCAAATATTTTATATATATATTACCATATCTCCAAATTGGTTCATCACTAAATAGTAAGTTGACTGCCCAGCTTCGTATTTAGCGTTGTGTTCTTCGATTGTTTTTAGAGTCTCCGAAAAAATGGCCATCCTAAGCTGTTCTTCTTCAGCATTGTGATATGATTTTCCGTGCTGTCTCTATCGCATTAAAATATTTTTCTTATTATGTATTGCTTATTTATTTAATTGACTGTTCAAGGTATCAAATTTTTGCTTAGATACAAATTTGTAAGTTTTTATTTAGTTTTACTAACCTTGAATGAGGTCCACTGTTCCTTAATGGGCGTTGCAGCTGCAAACGCCACCATGGCGAGTAGTAGTATCACTTTCATCCTGTAATAAAATGATATTAAATTTTTTAAATAAATTTATATCATATCTATATATTTAATTTACTGATGCTGTTCACGTATAGTCTGGTAATTCCTGAAATTGTTACGGTTGGAATCATTAGTGTTGTTCAGTTTATATAATAATTATGATTAGAACTACGCCTTTACTATGGATAATTTTCATTCGTGAAACTATCAGATATAGTTTAGAATTAGATATTGTAAGAAATACATTAGCTCGAATATAAAATCCTTATACTTGTTTATATCGACGCCTTGTTTTAAAAATTATTCAGGACAAATAAAATGCATTCCTTATGATAAAACCAAAAAAAAAAAGGATAAATAGATATTTATTCAAACCACTCTAAAATCCCAATTATCAATGTAGGATCCAATAAATAAAGCAATATTAATAATATTTTATATATAATTCATTATAATAAATAAATTCTAAAATAATAACATTTATCTAGAAAACAGAATAACAAGTGTTTTAAAGCAGTAAAAAAGGACACTATAAATTATCTGTAACAATAAATAATTAATAAACGCCAGATCGAAGATAACACGAATCAGAGTTGACTGATATAAATAAAATTATACAATTAATCGTCAACTTAACTCAAAACAATATTGATCCCTCACCTAAATCGGCCTTAAACCCTCTTTTTTAATAGTATTTCACCAATTAAAATATCATAGGATAAATCGATCCACAAATAAAAAAATCCCCGTATATAAATTATACATACAAACTGACCTGTATTATCACTAAAACCTTTGATGATAGGATATTGATTTAAATTAAAATGCACACTGAAGCCTAGACATCCTCACGTTAATAACGAACAGCCATGCAAAATCAAGGTAATCTTAAAAAAATAATGTTTCATAATTATGAAGGATATGATTGTTAAGACAGAATTAAAGAAACAAGTGGTGTTGTGTCACATGCCGAAAATCTGTCACAAGACATGAAAATGATTTTAAGAATATCAAATGATAAAGATAAATAATATTTGTAAAGATTTATCAATTTAACTACATTTTTATCACAACTAAATAATTTTTTTTTCACTACTTTAATCAGAACTTTTTCATTAAACTCAAATCAAGGCGTATATATAAACTCAAGTGTTATATAAAATAATCAAATTACAATCACAAATAGCGATCAATATAAAATAAAAATAATTACAAATGTACTTCTAAATTTATCTATTCTTATAAATAATTATAGAAATCAATGAAAAGCTCTGAATTATTTTAAATAAATACAATTAAATTTAATTGATTTTGATACAAATAAAAGTTTCGTGCAATATAGAATGAATTTTGAAATGATATACTGATTAATCAACAAACAAAGAAGACAAGGGACGACGTCATTCTAAACAGGAAGAAAACCACTTAAGAGATAATTACGTAACACAGGATTGAAAATAATATTATTCGCAATAGTTAAAAATAATATATTTAATTCATTTTTTTTTGGTTCGATTTATTCGATAATTGCGATGATGATAAGTGAAAATAGCTTACTTCCTGTGATAGTAAATCCGAAAAGTGAAATTAAGAAATTTTATTCGAAGCAATAAATAAAAACAGTCAATAACATACTATAATACCCTAATGATTTGAACCATAACAATTTTATAAATTATCCAGGCCAAGACTTAATACTTAATAAATAAAAACGAAGTTAGATATGATATTGAATTAATTTACATATAGTATGATATAATATTACATATCATGTACAAACATGTATAGTTTATTTTTAAATTTTATTGTTATCTATTTTATTCAATAGGTAGGAGAATGATATTGGACATCGTGAGTTTGAGAAAAGCAATGGACACTCCTGAATTATTGAATTCAATTTAAAAGATCAACTAATATTATTTTATGATGTCCAAACGTTAAAATTTTACAACGATTTTACATCATGAAAGAAAAAAGTTATATATAATTTTTATATGATTCTTACCTGATATTCCTTAGAAGAGGCAGAAAGGTGTGTAACTAGGATGTTTCGATTTGGGCGTTTTATACCTGACCGGCTGCACTTAAGTTCGAGAGCTTTCGCAAATCGATATTTGATCGATATCATGATAAATATTCTCTTGTTTGAATAATATAGATAATTTCATAAGTGGTAAATCGCCTCACATACTCATTCTGTAATGGACTTGACGCAGTTGCTCAAAATATTTATCAATTGTAATGGTTACTTCAATGGGCAATGTTTGAATTATTTGCCTCTAATAGTTTTATGTTGTTTTATTTTGTTTGTTTTGTTTTTCATATGTGCATATTTTTTGCAGTCATGTTCCACAGGTAAATAGGGATCAGTTTGAAGCTATAACAAAGAAGATAAATTTGGATGCTAGAACAAAGCAGATAAGTTTGAAAGCTATGTAATAGTGTTTTGTTTGAAAATTTTTAGTTAGTTCGGGAAGATATAACACATTTGATTATTTTATCATTGACATGGGAAGGGATATAGTTTTAATTCTTTTCAACTTCTATATTTCAAAATTAACATCCCCGAAGTATTAAAATGAACATAGCTGTCCAAAAAAATAAAAAATCTACTTCTTCTGCAGGAGTAAGATTTTACTTTATAACTTTCGTTCAACTAAAATAATGATTTATTACTTTATCAATTATGTATTTATGTTTTTGAAAGAACCATTATAATTTAGTATATATAATTAAATCTCGATTATCAACATGTATATTTTAAAAATCATTTATTCATTTTTTAAGTGTGTTGACTACTGTGGTAATTTACACTAAACATAAAAATTAATTCTGTACCTAGGAACAAAAAGGGCCGATGTCCAAAACGTTCAACTGTAAATGAACAGCTTGATAAGAAAATCAAAAAAGGATTTACTTCAATTGAAAAAAGGCCAATAACATCCAATTATTAATCAAATCCATGAAACTCAATACCATATTCTGTAAATATCAAAACATCTAGAGGAATGACTCCAGAAAAAATCTATTAATCATTTCTATCTCGTCACAAAAAAATTTATTTCCAAACAATTATAGATGTAAAGTAACATTTCCTTCCTAGTTACAAAGAAAAATAAATAAAAGGTGATTCCAATTATTGGACTAATCTTTTTTTTAATCATTAGTAATATGCTAAAAAAAAAATAGCTTACTTTACTTAATCGATTACTTTTTGAGTTATTCGGAATTTAATTTTCCCATCCCTCGTAACTATTTTTCCAGCTTCTTTTCGTTGAAGTATGTTATATAGATAAATTTAAAGGGCTCCGAGAAGACTTTAGCGAATTTTCATTGAAATAAGTAGATTCGTTTAGGCCCGAATAAGGAAATAAGTACAGTCTGTAGCAACGCAGGTTTTCCGGCCGCCATTTTGAAAGTAAAAGCCTGATAGTAATGTCGATGAAGCAGGATCATCTTTGGGTGACCTCTGATTTTAAATCCAAATTTGAAAAAAAAAATGGTCGAGTAGTTAAGGAGAAAATGCGAGGACGGCAGATGGCGTATTGCGTACGGTGTACGGCAGAAGGCAGACGCCGGACGCCGTACGAACAAAAAAAATTTTATTCGTTTTTCGAATTCTGCGTACCCTGAAACGTAAAACCTCAAATTTTGAGAGGGTTTTTTTTTTTTAATTTTTTGGTCGATCACAATGGTTCATTATTGGGAATAATAAGCCCATACCCACCAAAATGTGAATATTATAATTTCAGTACAACGATTAGTCACATTTTCCAATAATACCTTTGTTTTATCGAAATCCCCAATTTTTTGGGCTTAATGTCTGGATCATCAACAATTCTTAGAGATTTTGTAACTGTAGAATCGGTCCTTAAATTTTAAAATTTAAATTATACCATAAATACGACATACAATCGACAATAGACTGCAGGAACGAGAGGTTATATTTCTTAAAATGAAAAATTAAATAAAATAAATAGGAAAACAAATTATCTAATTGATTAGCTATAAAGTTTTAAGGCCAGGAAAAAAAAGAACTTGCCCAGGAGTATTTATTATCTTTAAAAATGATGATGCATGCCTCTTGGTTCCCAAAGAAATTGTATTGCTCTCCTCTTCCTAAAAACAATACTAATGAAAGTAGAATTTTAAAAATGGTGTTTTAGTTTCTCCTTGCTGTGGGAATTTCATTAGAATGAATATTCAGATAAATATAGATTCCTCCGAAAATTCAAAAATATGTATTTCCCAAAAATTAAACCGCCTGTCTCAAAAATTTAGATGGTGCAACTTACGCAATGCAACTTTCTTCTAGTAAACCTCTACAACTGGCTAGAAATCGTTTCATTATTAATCCTTTGTTTACTTTTTGAGTAATTTACATATGAAATGCAGCTTTCTATTTTCTAACGAAGACATCTTAATCTAATAACACCTGTCTCTGAAACGAAATTATTTTTTCATCATTGAAAGCTAAACTTCGAGTTGATCCAACGGACGATCTACAATAAATAATATAATGCATGCCTATCCTGAACTTTTTATATATTTTTTTCATACTGACCTGATTTCTAGTCAGAGCCCGACACTATACCCCACTCGAACTCAACGGTACAATACCACTTCAAGTTTAATAATATTATAATTAAGAGATCTAGGTCATATATATAAAGGGGAACCCTAACAAAAAACCATGACCTAGGATCACAAAAGCCATGTTGAAGGAGGTCAGTGAACCCGAACACCTGTGACGATTGTAAATACAGAACCCACCGGTAGCTCTTGCGCAAGGCGGAAATCGCAGTCAAAGCTCCATTATCCAAGCACAAAGCTCAATGGCTCTTCTCAAGTCCTCGGCCAAGAAGGGGAGCTTCTGTTCCTGCATCCAGTGGGGTACCTCAAGGAGGTTAGTTTTATGATATGTCGGATTTATCATCGGTTTAATGCAAAAAGAATATTGTGCAATAACTGAAAATATAGTCGATATATAAAATGTTAGTGTCATTTTGATCCACTCTATGATTTAAAAAAAATGTATTCCCATATTTCCTATTGATATGAAATCAGTGTCGTCAGGTCTAATTACAATGACTGGCACGAATGAAATAAGAACTATTCAAATATGAAAAATAAATCTTTTGATGGAGTTTGATAAGATTAAATTTTAATTCTCTGTGTATTATATATATATATATATATATTCTATACGCCAATCGATTCGTGGCTTATATGTGGTTCCAATACCTTGCGTACGTTTAAATCCCGCCTATTTAAGCACTTCCTATTCATGCAGTTCCCAAACAACTATAAATATGTATATATAATTTTTTTTTATGTCGTATTTTTATCATATCATTATTAATTTGCTATCATAAGAAGTTACGCTATGATTTCTCATTACTTCTGTTAGTATATTATATATATATATATTTTTTTTTTTTTATACTACTCTGCAGCTGTGAAATCCTCCATTCTGTCCAACTCTACCTTTCAAAACTGAATTTTCACAGAGAAAATAATTGGAGTGAATTATTGCTATTAATTACTAATTCCCTGCCTGATTGTATATATTGTATATAGGTATGACTGTATTTTTAATGTTTTTAATTTACTTATATTTAGGTTATTTTATTTTTTTATTGTATATAGTTTTTATTTATTATTATTTATTTATTATTTTACTTTTTTTAATATTGTTTCTTTTTTGTATATACGGTGTGAATTTGTTCATTTATCAATATAATTATTGTCTCTGTGACAGAATATTATATGTCTAAATAAATAAATAAATTTGATCTAACTAAACATTAAAAAAAAAAAAAAATTACTAATACTTGTACTCGTGGATATGGTTGTATTAATAATTCCAATGGAGCCTCTTTTTTTTTTTTTTTTTTTTTTCCTATACTTATAACAATCTGTCACGTGGACAATACATCATAATAATACATGAACCTATTCACACCATATATACAGAAAATATAAAATTAACAAAAGTAAAATAATAATCAAAAACTATGTAAAATAAAAAAATTAAAGATAAAATAAGTAAATTAAAAAAACATAAAAACACAGTTATACCTCTATACAATATATACAATTAGGCAGGAAATCCTCAAGCCAGGCTTCTCCCTCCAACTATAAAAGGAAAAGCAGGTCTCTAAGAGATCCCTGAGCTACTCTCTCAACCCCGTCACTGGTGCTAAAGCCAGTGGAGTAATTTTTTTTAAAGTAGGTTTTTGATATATTTTTTTAATAAATTTGTACATTTTGATATTGCTATTTGATTAACGTAACTTCTTTCTTATAGAACATAATTACAGATGTTTCTGGTAATTTTGCTAATGCCAACTTGATTCTGCAAAAAAAATATTGCACCATTTTAAATTTACAAGGGTCTGTCGAAGAACCATGTCCAGGAAATATTCGATGGAATTTTCAGGTGATTGACGTAATGCATAGTTCATTTATATTTAAATGAACAGTTTCTCAAAAAAAAAAAAAAAAATCTACCTTAACTTTATAAAATAAAACATTTCAATTTCACGAGATATCACTAAGTTTAAGTATAAAATATATGAAATTATAATAAAAAATTATAATTTTTTTATCTCTCTTTCTCGCCTCTACCCTCAAGGGTCAATGGCATTTTACTGTGATTTATATTCTTCTGTAAATTCTATTAACTTCAAAAATTCAAACAAAGTATTGACTGTTTCTTCAGTGTCTTGAAGGATTTCTTTTAATGTTCTGGCTAAGCCTGTTTTTTGTCTACAACTTTCAAATTTAGGAAATTCTTCCAATAAGTGTTTTACTGTTTGTGGAACGGTATTACAGTTTTCATATGTGGGCGCTTCAAGACCTTTCAGAAGGTAGCCATGTGTAAACTGGCAGTGTCCTATCCTTAATCGGCAAAGCATAACTTCTCTCCTTGAACTTCTGTAGCTTGTGAGCCATTTGTCGCAATTATTTTTTATTTCTCTCATTTTGCATTCTTTCATTTCATATAACTTTTTCCATTCTGTTTGTAGTCTTGTTTTTGCGTGGTGTAGCCAGTCTTCTAAGATAACTTTCCTTAGTCTTATCTCTGCCGTTTCTTCTTCTCTCCTTGCTAAATGGGCTGCTTGGTCAGCTTTTTCATTTCCCGGAATAACGCAGTGGGCTGGCACCCAAACGAACACTATTGACATGACCATACATTTAACATTTCTTTAATAATAGAATTAGTTGGAGATGGGTTGTCGATAGCGGCTAACACACTCCACGAATCAGTTACAACGATTTCATATTTATATATTTCATATATTGCTATAGCTGCAGGGTGCTATTGCATGCAACCCTCTGAATAGCTCACCATCCAAACAGATACCGGTTAACAAGAACAAGAACCTTGCGGAAGACACCATTGGCGGAGACAGGCAGCTGGGCCGGGGGCATTGGGGCCCACCGGAGCGAGTGTTTGCCCATGCCCGCCCCGGGGCACTCACATGTATTATTCAATGTTTGCCTTCATTAGCCTCCGCCCATCGGCCATTATTGTATCTATACCCAGATATTGCTTGCAGTTATTTAAATTTGGTCAAACATGTTTGTATACAGTCGTTAAAAGGGGTGAGAAAAGGATATGTTCAAATACTCTTATAAACAATAACCTTTCGTTTTTTTTCCCACCTCATTCGTATAGAAATGGTACTTAGAATTTTTAAAAAATTATATTTTAATAAAAAAGTTGAATATACTATACCGTCTATTTGAATATATAAATGTTATTATGTAAAGAAAAAAAAAACCATAGCCCCCGTATTCTTATGCGACTATGATGATATACAGTACAAAACCCAAATAATATGCATTAAAATCCTTTTCCAATCAATATTTAATCGTCATGATAAATATTCTCGTTTTAAAATATTTAAGATAATGGTATAAGTGGTAAGATAATTGCCTCGTGTATTCAGCCGTTATTACGAGAGTGACGCAGTTACACAAAATATTCGATAGTTGAAATATTTACTGCAATGGGAATCCCAGGATTTATACGAGTGTGTGTGTATAACATTTCTATTCCTTGATAAAACTTAAACTATCCTTTTTTTTTTTTTTACTTTTAGGCTTCAGCCACAAGGGTCATTATTGCCTTATTTTCATTGAGAATTAGATTGTATTTTAAAGTTTAGAACATTTCAGAAACGAAAATAATTTATACAATTTCATTCGTATCGTCCTGTATAATGAAATGTAGATCGTTTATCAAGTCACAAGATAGTCTAAATGTTTCGTAAGCTTTGCGTTCAGTTAAAATGTGTTTTACTGTCAGAGGAGTCCCACAGATTTGGCATATTGGCGAAGAATCACGGACCAAGAGCGTGTATGACCTATACGCAGGCGCGTAAGAATTACTTCCTCTCTGCGGTTATTCCTATTTGACGATGCCCAACGTCACACTTTACCTCTCTCAATTTATTCTCTGTTACATTCGATCGTATCTGTTCCCATTTTATCTTCATTTTCTGTTTAATGACGGTTATAAAACCCTCTAAAAGTACTCTCCGATAAGGCATTCCAGCAGTAATGGCTTTTTTGGCAGCTCGATCAGCCAGTTCATTACCGGCTATTCCGCAATGCCCAGGGACCCAGACAAAAAACTCTTCCTTGAACTACGCTTATATGTCTACGAAAAGTTTTGAACTAAAAATGAAATTGGAAGGAAGAAAAACAAATTAAATAAAAATTACTTAATTATTTTCATAAACCAAATAAAACTAAACATAAATTAATCGTTAAAAACAAAATATGAAACAATTTTTTACAAAACTAAAATAACAAAGAAATACGAACTTCCATTAATAACAAACAGCAATAAATAGTTAATCCTTTCTGTCAACAGAATGTCACTCCAATTTCAAAATTTTCAGGTAATAGAATTTTAGGCAAACAGTGAATAAGTTGATTCCAGAGAAGGTGATTCCGACGTTGAAATATAGAACTGCGAATAAAGGTATAAATTTATATATTTCCAAAACATTACAAAATTAATAATCAAAAATGTTGAAATTGGAGTTAGTCATTCTGTAAACTGAAAGGCTTAATTTTATTTAAAAAAGGAAAAATAATTGACAATATTAAAAAATAAAACTCTAACGCTAATGAAATTGTAAAAAGTAAATCGAGTAGTTAGCGATATATTCGATATATACGCGTCATATACTACAAAGCCTGATTATTACCTTTTAGATAAACAAGATGAAGCTGGAATATTAAAAATAGATAAAATGTGAATATTATAAATATTATTGATGTAGAGTATAAATATTATTGCACGAGAAAGGTCAAGTACGGCCAATATCGCAAAACAGTTTGAAATCGGGAAAGCTTGAGTAGCTGGCACATTAAGACATAGCTATTTTTTTTTTTTTTTTTTAAATATAAAAGCATGTAAGTTAATAAGAAAAAATTATTCTCTATTAGAAGGCCGCGCGATAGACAAAAACGTTTTTGAATTGATCTGCCGAGTCTGCCGACAAATTATATCAATAATATCTGGCTCATAATATATGTAAGTAAGGGATAGTATTGCTCTTCGAGAAAGAAGTTTTAAGATCTAGGATGTAGTTAGGTCATGTCCAAGAACTTTGCAGGAGGGTAATTTTTTAATGATGTTGGATATTTCTGTGGGATAAAATGCTTTAGATGAAAAGGACACTTGGAGAGGAATATCTAGTTCTGCTCCAATACAATTGATGTGAGTCGAATTAAGGATATCGGGATGTGCGTTAAAAGTTTGGAAGAGATGTTGACCAAATATTTGTTTTTTCTCTTATTCGGATTTGGACCGGGTTTGGAAATCAGTAAGTAGTGGGTGATTAAAGTCTTTGAACTTGAGAAGTTTTTTGGTGGTTATCCATATTAATTGGTCTGTGGTTGTAAGATTTTCAGTTTGGTTAAGGAATTTTTTGAGTTTTCTAATTTCTGCTTTTAGTTTGTTAGTCAACTCGGTGTAGTATGTTTTATCTGAAGGATATCTAGCCCTGTGCCACTTCGATCTTGCAATGCATTTTTCCCTTAATAAGATTCAAATATGCTGTGGCGAGTTAATATGTCGTGAGTTATTGCTTTTATTGACAGAAGTGTTATCATTTGTAGTGGTTGCTATAGATGTGGTAAGTTTTTATATGGCTTTATCAATATCTTGTTTTGTCTTAAGCGAAATTTTTAAGTCCAGTTTATTTTCCAGATCATCACGAAATTTGTCCCAGTCTACTCGTAATCAAGTTAGGAGCTGAGTTTGAATGTGGGCTTAGGAGCAAGTTTTTATAGTTATGTTGGCCAATAAGTAGGACTCATGGGCGAACGAATGGAATAATTGTTGGAAGAAGAAACTCGTGAAAGGGTATTTCCACGGGAGTTGGATGTTCGACAATCCCATCGTTGGTGTAATTACAAATCTAACGCAGCTGTTCATTTGTCTTTACAGAATATCACGAAGCTCCACCGAGAGGTCATCACCATACAGCTGTAGTCAAAGTGGGGGAAGATGAGAGAGGAAAGGATGTCTTTTCGTTGAGGTAGGAGATGGTGGAAGCGATGGAATAGTTCGAGGGTAGAAATTATCCGTCGTGAGATATGAGAAATATGGTGATTCCAGGAGAGGGTTTGATCAATAAAAAATCCTTTCTTTACTAGACTAAAAACATTGCTCGAAGGTCTTGAGTGAATAAATTTTGTAAATATTATATAAAAGCATGTGTGAATTTAAGTAGTTATTTTGATTGCTTTAGTTTCTTTTTTTTTTTAGTTTAGTTTATATATATATATATATATATACTTTTAATATTATTATTTTGATGTTTATTTATTTTTGTTTATTGTACATAGTGTGAATGAGCTATTCTTTATCACTGCTATTATTGTCCTTAAATGTGGTAGATTGTAATATATCTCAATAAAGAATTTTAGTTTAAAAAAAAATATATATATGTATCTAGAACCCACTCAACATAAGCTTTTTTTCATATTTTATTTTTCCAAGTCATTAACTATTTTTTCTCTTTTAAAAGAGTTCAGTTATCTCAGCGATGCGATTATTAATTGTGGATGGGATGGTAAGTGATGTGTTGACATTCTACCCACTAGTGTCAGGACAATAACTTCCTTCATCAATTCACGATGCATCACGCGGCGCTCGAAGTACATGATCCTTTGGACACTATCGGCCGACACACGTGCTCACGTACCCTCCCTATTAAGGTCACCTAACGGCCGAAACGTTAGTCTTTATCTTTAACGGCGATGTTAGCGACGGCCCATCGAGTTTAATCTAGGCGTTGACGGTTTATAAATGACCTCTGGTCAGCGCGGAATCCAATCTCCTGACGAGGGTCCCCCAGGATTATAAAACAAAGGGACACCGCCCGCGGCCAGATTGACCAAGAGAATTTAATGGGCCCCTGAATTGTTAATAGGCTATTAGCAGAGTCTCAAAAGCCAACTTGATTAAAAGACTCGGATCTGCATGAATTATTCTAGCTGGAACCATCTGGATCGGCTTTGGTTTAATTGAATGTAAGGCCGGAGGTGGACACGGTTGAATCATTTACTCCAGCCTTCGGCAATGTCAACAGGGGAGTCCTCTAGTCTAGTGTGTGTGGCCAATATGATGAAGAACCGTCATGAGGTGTCCAAACCAAGTATAGACAAAATATATTGGGGTCAGGAAATATTTGTTTATTATTTTAATAAATAATGAAGATGAAATATCAAAACAAAACAGTTTTGATCCAAATAAAATATGAAGAATAACAGAATTATTTATTCTTAATCTTTAAAAAAAATATGCTCTATTCAGTACTATAAACGTTGAGACTGAAATTACATAGTCCTCAAGATAATGAGTAGTAAAAGATTACATGTACAACATATGAGGAGTGTAATCACTACATTTCAAGTATAAACAGAATAGAATTGACCCCAAATTTGTCTATAGCCCTTAATAATGACAATGAAACTTCAGTCGCATTGGTATTTGAATTTATAAAAACACAGAAACTCCTTTCTAAACTATAGCACTTTTACCGTATTATTATTTTTAAGAACTACCATTTCTACTTGTTATTTAATGTCATTCTGTAATTTGATAACTTTTGTATAGTTTTTTTTCAATATTATAGTCTAAATTTTTTTACGAACTTATAGTTGAAAAAAAAAACCGTATTCGTTGATGACCTGTGGGTTTTACTCCTGTAAACAGCAACAAAAATACAAACATGTCAATATATCCTTTTCATAGTGGATGAACGCTTGCCCATTTTACCCCAATTATTTTTGTGTTTGACTGCTTATTTTTAGCGTCAAAATGTCATTGCTGTTCTAAAATAAAAGATTTGACATTTTCTTAGCGGCTAAAATTAATTTGCCGTCCTTTCGTAAAGGTTTTTTGTTTAAAGCACTGCTAGATTTACTAGTGTTGCCCAAATGCGAGACCGAGACGAGTCTTGGTCTTACAAACTCAGTCTTGCTCATGGTCTTGGTCTTAAGCAAGTCTTGCAGTTACTTTTTACTTTATTACTATAGAGATATTAGTGTAATTTTTTAGATATGAGAAACCTAACTAAGCCCGAATGAAAAATCTGAGGAGCTAAATTCTAATGTATAGTTTGGTTATACGAATTATTAACATATAGTAACTAATATTGTCAAGTATTAGTAACTATTTCGCCTTAATTTTTATTCAAAAAATCGATTTTTTTACCAGTCCTGGTCTTGGTCTTGCAACAGTTAGGCGGCCTTGCTCTTGGTCTTGCCAAGTGCAAGACTAAGACCGATTTAGGAGCAACACTAATATTTACCAAGTGTAATATGTTTTATATAATAATTATATACAATTATAATTTAGAGTGTATAATTTACAGTATTTTTTAATCTTCTTGAAGGGATTTTATGAGTTATTTAAAGAGTTTTAATTTTTTAGATTATCTTTAAAAGGTTAGTAGTCTATTAAAACTTTGTGAACAAATTATTTGAAGCATTTGGATTGCTGGTATGAAGTATACATTAGCTAAATATGGTATTGGTTTTAAATGAAGTTATGAACAAAGTTAGGAGGAAACTAAAAAAAAATTCGTATCTTGTATCTTACTGCTCAATTTTATGAATGTGATGACGGATACTCCATATCTAAGACGACTGTGTTCATTCATAAGCGTTACTAAAAAATATCATCTATATATAAACGTGATACGCTTCACTCTTTGCTAATAATAGGTGGAATAAATGACATCGCGAATAATAAAGGAATATGTTTTATATATTCGGAAATGTCCAATAAAGTTTGTATTTAGGTTGTAAACAGAGAGTTTCTCTTCGAAGTACTTGAGCATGATTGTATTTTTCTCAATTATGGTGTCTAATAAAACCCTGTTTACTTCACAATAATGAATAATACAATTAATACTGAAAAATCATCTATTTTAGTAGTCGTCGTTTAATAATACTAATTAGTGCTGAGAGCAATTCTTCCGCCATTGTGGACAACCATAGCCGATCAAGATAGCAACAACCCCGCATCTGGACAAATCCAATCTGGACCCCCCGCTCTATTGTATTTTATTTTCTAGTGTCGATCTGTCTGATCTGTGACAGGGAGAAGACACCTACGCACCGGACAGCAATGACGTCATGATAGATGGGGTCACGTGGCTGGACAATGACGCAATCATCGCTGATTACAGCACGCGCCGCTGTCCAATATCTGAAGTCCTGGATGCTCCAGAAGTGGTGGAGTATCATGTTCTCGGTGGTATTCTTCCTGAATTTGGAGGGCACAGTTATAGTGTTATTAATTAACCTCTATATAAAGTATGTTAGTCTGCAGAAGAGAGAGCTTAAGAAACGTTTTGTTTTGTATTAACATTTGGAGAGGAGATATTTTGTAATATAATTTAATTTTAAAATATATAATAACAAAAGCGAAATACCTATATAATTTAGTAGATTTTAGCTGTTGTATTAGATTTAATTGTATTACAGTGAAACCTTTAAACATCTGACAGCTAATTTTTCCATTGCAGAAGGGGTGACCACTGAGAAAGTTTATACAAAAAAATTTAATAAATTAAGTTGTTTGAGTTCCAGGCATTTATACGCACCTAGTATTAAAATTTATTATATCGTCCATTCAAAATGCTAATCATAATTATGAAAAATTTTCAATCCTGCACACTAGCGATTGTAATTGTGATTAAATATTTTTAAAAAGCAAATACAAAATCTTCAAACATTCATTCAAAAACATATTAGTATGTACATAAAATTTCCTAGTTGCTTAGGCTGAACTGATGGTGATATTAGAATGATAATTTTCATATTCGATTGTTAACATTTGTATCAACGATATTTCCATAGAAAAAATTCTATACAAAATTTATTTTTTTCTTTTTTTTTTTTTAATGCTTACTGTAAAACATACTGTCACAATAATACATTGGTTATAACAATGGAAAGTGTAAATTCAAACCATATTTACAGAAAATATAAATAAATAAAATTAAATAGAAAAAAAGTAACAACAAATAATAATCAAACACAATATACAATAAATAAAATATAAATTAATTCAATGATAAGTAATGTAAAATAACACAGACACAACTTAAAACAATACTTATAATAACGGAATTTCGAACTCTCGCTTGTCCCTCCACCTATTGAAAGAACATCAGGACTTCAGGAGATCCCTTCGCTACTCTTCCAACCGTGTCACTCATATTAAAGCCAGTGGTGATTGGGCGAATGCGCTATAGCCACTTATATCCATATACAAACATATTTTTTTTTAAATGTTAAAACATATTTATTGAGAGATATTTCAATAATAGTGTTCAGAGAGCACATTCACACTCCATACAAACATTTTTAAAAACACAAAATTAAATTTGCGAACAAAATGTATAAACAATGAGGATATTTGCGTAAATAATTTTAAAAGATGATGATTCAAACTCTTTTATAACAACGATTAAATTATATAACTTTTTCTTTGAATTCGATTTTTTACATTCATTTACGTATATATGAAATATATACGATAGTAAGAGACAGTATTGCGATCGTGTACATTTTCCAATGTGAGTTTTCAAAGGAAATACATGTTTTAAGGTCTTCTGAGTCCAAATAAAGTACCGCAAAATGGTCTCTGTGTATGTGCGTGTGTTTGTGACGAGTCTAGCTCAAAAATGAAAAGTCGTATGAAAGTGAAATCGCGCATTTGAGGTATGTATTTTACAATCCGTATATACCTCAGATGTTACAGAAACTGTTTCGTCAAAATCGGATAGCCGGAACACTTTATATTAACACTTTATATTAATGGTGAAACACATTTTTACAATTTTCTCAAAAACGGCTTTAATGATTGATTAAACTCGGAGTGTCATTGTTATTATTAAGTGGTCTTTAATATCATTTGGGTCTTATCCCCATTGTCACTTTACAGGACTTGAATGCCCAAAGTTCATATACGTCTTCCTCTAGAGTACCTTTAATATGGTTTATTTTAAGTTTTACTGACCGTAACTATAAAAAATGGCTAAATATGAAGTTTGAAAGCATATGATAATTGGAAACAGGGAAAAAAAAGAAAAATGCTTATTTAGGTTGAAAATGAATCTCCGGAAATAACAGTATAATATGTACATATGAAGGTATACGTATAATATATCGTTAGAAAGCGGAGATTTTTAGAAAAAGTAATATCCAATAAATAAATTTGTAGAAATTTACGGAGAATGACGAATAAAATGTAAATAATAATTTCTGTAAACCAACATTATTTATTTTAAATCACCTATTTTCAAAGATTTTTTTTTTTAGTGTTCAGAGATCACATTCACAATCTGCTCATGTACATTATATAGTCAAAATCACATCACACTTATGACAGAAATAAAATAACTATCGAAAAATATAATAAATAAGAATAAAATAAATAAATAAAAAGAACACATACATAACTATATACAATATTTACAATCTGGCGATAGAACTCCAAACCAGATTTGTCCCTCCAACTGTGGAGGGAAAAGCATGACTCCAGGAGATCTCTGCACTTCTCTCAACCGCGTCACTGGGGCCAAACCCAGTGGAGATTGAGCAAGAATGCTCAACGAAATTAAATGAAATTGTCTTACTAAATTTAAATTTAAAAGTTTTTTTTAAGTTAAAAAAATTATTTAAAATCCTCTTAATCAAGAAGATCCCATTGTTTAAATTAGTGTTTCATTTCTCTTGTGTGAAAGAAGTATTTTTGTGTACAGTGTTTAATAATATTTTTAATTTATAGATTTGAACCTGACAACCGGTTTAATTATTTTAAACATAATTAAATGTATCTGAATGAATTGTCCATAAGGAGGGATGTCATACGGGTGACTGTTTTATTTTTTCGGTTGAATTCTGTTTTTCATTTTATTTTAATTTGAAATTACAGTTTTAATTTATTTGATTCCAGATGTATGTAATTTCACTTTTTTTTTTTCAATTTGGCTGACTGATCAATAACAAAAACTAACCATTATAAAAACTAAGATGATGTATTATAAACGGAATTTAAATTAATACATGCCAAAGGTGAGATGTAACCTTGTTTATCAATAGAGGCCGCATTTAGACTAGACATTGGTAAAGAAGACCTCGGTATTTTTATCTTTTTAATCGTAGATATAAATTTCGTTTTTCTATTGCCGTAATCTATATCGATTATATAATTAAATATTAATTAATACCAATGATGACGGGCACATGGAGGCCGTACGAAAACTCTGCACAAATACTATTGAAGGCCGCCACGTTCTCCACCAGTAATGATATTTACTCTTGTAGGAAGTAATATATATTTTGTGATCTAATATCTAATTTCTTATCACATTGTTGACCGGTGACGAATCAATTCGTCTCTTCATGCCCAGACGTTCTTGACCGACGACGAGTTATCATTACAAAATATTAGACGGTGATATTACATAGTTTCTGTTTAAAGTTTCCGGTCAATAAAGTGTTATTATATGGTTCGATAACAAGGATCAAGTTTTTATATATGTATTGAATGAAGATATTTTTTTAGATTTAATGTTTTTTCGGGAGGGAGAATGGAAATAAAGAGGCTGTGGCCATAGAGGTACCTTTTAGCAAGTGGATCGAGAGATCAAAAATTTGGTTTTTTTAAGCTAGGCACTATGAATTTATAGTAATCTGTTTTTAACAAAGCTATGTTCGTTTTGCTTTGTTATTTTGAAAGGTTAGTTGAAGCCCTTCCTGGCAAAGCCTTATAGTAGGATCTGCTAGTGTTGTATGTACTGATCAACATGTGTGGCTATGTATTTATGAGGTTCTTCAAAAAGTTTATATTGTGAAACCAAATATCACACGCTGACTCCCAGGCCATCTGGATATTTGTTATTTGAATTCAGGAAATTGTGATCATCAGTGTCTCTAAACAATATTTCTACTACTACATAGATACATTGATTTCCAAAGGTTACTGAATTGGCTTAATACTAATAATTCCTAATCATTTTGAGCAGAGGTCTCCAACCGTTTTTCAATAGCTGGCACATTTACAGGTTTTGTCATGTGGCGTGTTATAGGTATAGCATTTTAAAATGAAGATGTAAAAGGTACCAATAAAAAGAAATATATACTTATAATTATCTTTATTGTTTTGAAACTGATGAAATATATTTCTATAGAAAAGGCAAAAATACCAAACGGAATCTCAACATTTTTATAAAGTTTTCTTATGTTATTGGTGATAAATATTCAGGACGCAGCCATTATAAAGATTTTATTGGTGCCGATGTTCCAACCCAAACATGTAGGTCATCATCAGGGCCTGTTTCGACTACTGAAGGTATTCAACCACTCTTGAATTAAGTAATTGAGGACGTCCCGATGATGACCCACATGTTTGGGTTGAAACGTCGGCACCAATAAAAACTTTATAATGACTGCGTCCTGAATATTTATCATCCATGGTATGCAGAACAGTCGATAAACCTCCTTCACTTTTTTTTTTTATGTTAGATTAACAAATTTGAAAATTATAATTATAAATCAATTGAAAGCGATATGGTTTATAACTGCGTATAAAATAATTTTAATGCAGTGTTACCAACGTTGTCTTTAATTTTTTTAACTATCAAAAATAGATAAAACAAACAATAATTATGATATTATATCAATAAATAAATTATTATTTTTGAATAATTCACTCATAGTTTTGAATTTTATATCTATAAAATGTACTTAAAATTTAATAAAATTAGACATATTTAAAACAAAAATGGTAAAACAATTAAATTGAAAACCCGTTTTTCTGCAGCATGGCACGTAAAACAATAATGATGTTTGAAAAAAAAAAAAATTTTTTATAGTAATCGCTCATGCTTAAAAATAATCATCAGATATTTTAAAAATAGATACTCAACATTTTATTGAAAACTTATCGATCTGCAGCGAGTTTTAAACAGTATTACTGTCGCCAAGGTGATTGCCGATATAGGTTATATTAAACGTAGGCGGGCACAAGCTTGCTTTAGATTGGGATCCATGATTGAGAGGTATTTAATACTAAATAGAAGGTTTTAATTTTGTTTGATTTTCAAATATAATTGTTGATGATGATGTATAAAATTACACAGTGTCCGTGCTTTAAAAGCTTACCGATCCCAGTTGAGATATATCTATTTAGTATTTTTTTGTAAACTTTCGAAAGACTTCTAACAGAGTCAATATTACTTTCTCTCAGACCTTACCACCTCTCCTTTCTGCGTACATTTGCTCCTGTCTTGAAGTCGATAGCAATTAATTAACTTTCCTCTCGGCGGTGAGTTAGGATCTGGTCGGGACCCCAGTTCCCACATCGGTAAGGCAT